TGTATAAATAAGCGACCTGCAGTACCAAACATGGAAATCGATCGAAAGTTTCCATACATAACAGGATTTCGACCTATACTATTCCATATGTAAGTAAGTGTTCGTCCGCACCAACCATAGAACTCGATCCAAAGCTTCAATACATACTATGAGCAGACTTCCATCACCCTCTACGAACCCGATTTTAATTCGATGTCTGAACGAGCATATTCCATCAACCAACAAACCATTCAACCTTCATGTCAACGAACGGTATAAGCGCAGCACAACACCAGACATGACGTCGACCGTACCTTAACAGGCAAGAGACACCAAGCCCAACTTTGATGTCAACGAATGGTATAAGCGCAGCACAACACCAGCCATGACCTCGACCGTACCTTAACAGGCAATACACACCAAGCACAACCTTGATGTCAACGAATGGTACAAGCGCAGCACAACACCAGACATGACCTCGACCGTGCCTTCACAGGCAATAGATACCAAGCATAACCTTGATGTCAACGAATGGTAAAAGCGCAGCACAACACCAGACATGACTTCGACCGTAGCTTAACAGGCAATAGACACCAAGCACAAGCCCATACCCGCATAATCGATCGCGCCTTGGAGTTCATGGCGTATGCATCCGATCTGTCATCCACATAGTCCTGTGGAGTGAGGTGCATCGATAAAACATTGTGCATATTCACTCACGGCCGCGTGCTGCGGTTCGTGCGTGTGCGTGCGTGTGGACGGAGAAGAGGATTTGTGATCGTCGCCTTCACTCGGTAGACGGATGGCAGAGCCGAATCAAACCACTACACTGGCGACGTTCTCGAGGTTTCACTCGGCAACTAACAGGATTTAAAAAAAATACATACATACATTCATTCCTACACACACATACATGCATACATTCATACGTGCATACATACATACATTCATACATACATGCCTACATACATACATACATTCCTACATACATGCATACATACTCAGACTACATGTGTTCATCTGTGTGTTCGCTTGCTGTTACAAGATCATAGGTGCCCTGTAATTACGCAGATAGGGGCCCAGAGCGATGTAGAACCAAGTCGCTTGTCACATATAACGCACGAGGACCGCACCCGCGCATCATATAGCGTGGTTGCTTCAGATACGTTTCATGACGTGTGCTTGCTTAATGTAAACTCATGATGATCCTAAAGTGCTTGCCTAATGTACAGACGGTACCTCTAAATAGCTTTTGGGCATTGCATGAATATATCTTCCAAGGGTTTAGGGTCTAAAGGAAATATTTTAGGGTTTTAGGGCTTTAGGGTTTACAGTTTTAGGATTTGAGCTGAATCTGATCCTAAATAACTTGTGGACATAACTTGTGGGCATTACATGCATATATCTTCCACACCATCGGAAGCGATACATATTATTCTTAATCAGGCAAGGGTCGTACCTTGATATGAGCTAACGTAGGTGCGGCCTTCCTTGCACCGTTGATATCGTCCTTTCCCCTTTCTAATTTGTACATGGCATCGGCAGCCAACTTTTCACGCTCCTCCTTGCCTTTATAAGGCATCAAATGGAAGTGTATTGATATAACATTAGAGTATGTAAACATTACATATACCGAAATGCGAAGAATGCCGGAAGCCATCAAGAACTCCAGTCGTGGTGAAAGAAATGAAGGTTCTAGAGCTTAAGCTTATAGTAAAATATATGATGATAATTTGATAACGTAGCAGACTCACACACACACACACACACATATATATATATATATATATAATATTCTTTTTCTCACCAGTTCTTACCATCCAGTGTCATCTCACCGTCCTCCGCTTCCCATGTTTCAATCTTTTGTTTAAGTCCACTGACACACACATAGGCGGTATTCTGAGATGAAAAGAGTGCGTGATAGAATCGTGGGACAAGATAAGCAACGTACTACTGTACTATAATGATGTAGCTATACGGACCCTAGAATCACTTTTAGAGTATACTTCCTAATCAGTCCTTATTCCATAAGCCATAAATATTTGATCTATCGCATATTTACACAAACCTTACCTAATACTCTCAGAGAGTAATGTGAACCATTCTGAGTTGAACATACTTTGGGGTCGGTCTGCATCTCCATCCAATTGTCGCAAAGGTGACACTTGAAACGGAAGGACAGTATCGCCGTTGTATAGTACATTCCCACCTTCTTCTTCTCCGCATTGTACCGCACACCTATATGTAATAAATATATATGTACATAGATCATGAATGCGGATATGGATATAAATAAAAAATGAACGTGCATATATGTATGTGTGAATATAAACTATTTCCGCTGGTATGTGTGTGAATTCAAATCATGAAAGCTGTAGTGTGCGTGCGTATATATATATATACATATATACACATATTATAATATATATATAAATATATATATATATTAATATATATATACATACACACACACAT